GGACCGCTGCAGTAAGACCACAGTCTGGTGAAAAAGCAATATTTCTAATTCTTAACTGCCTTCTTCTAAAAGCAGGACAACAATAACAAAGTTCATTCATTTTTAAATCTGTCATTTTATATTTTGCTGCCTTCATTTTCCTTGATCGAGATAATTTTCTTATTTTTTAAAACATGGATTGCATACATTGCATGGTTACTGTACTGAACTGGAAAACTGCATCTAACCGTATATGCTCTTCTTTGATATAAATGAGCGTACTAATGGAAAGCCTGAACTACTTATCCTCATACTTTGTTAAATATAAAAATGATTGCTCTGCTAACGACTCTGAGAAAATAAATGTCAATGACTTGGCATATAGTGTTATATTGATAGGTGGGCACATGAGAAACACTGATTTATGCCTGCTGGCATCAAATTCTGTGTTGCAAAGCAAGTCTTGAAAGCAAAGCTACTAAATGTACTCTTTTCCATTGTAACCTAAAAAACATCTATATGAATATTTCTGTAAAAGAGGCAAGTGGTGATATACCTACATCAGGTTTTATCTTATTCAAATTCAACATGAAATTTAAATACATCACATTTACACCTTCGGTATTTATGTAATTTTTTTCAAATTAAAGTTCTTTTACAATACCAGTGTATACTACTTCTACCAGTGGGTGTAATATCTATTTATTAATAATAAAGCAAGATTCCTCTCTTAAACAAAAGCTTTGACATATTTCATTACAGTGGTTTGTTCCATCAATTGATCCATTTTCTTCTGCTTATTCAATTTAGGGTTGTGGGGGGTCTGGAGTCTGTCCCAGCTGTCACTGGACGAGCGGCGCAGTACATTCTTTACAGGTTGCCATTCTATCACAGGGCTAACACAGAAAGACAGAGAATCATTCACTCCTACGGCCACTTCAGAATCACCAATTAGCCTAAAAGGCATGTCTCTGGACTGTGGGAGGAAGCAGGAGTTCCCAGAGAGAACCCATGCGCACTCTACACAGAAAGCCTCAGCCAGCCAGTCTATTCAAACCCTGAAATTCCTTGCTATGATGGGACCACTAGCCACCTCATTACTCTTCTATCATTGCTAGAATAAGTAACCTGAAAACACTGACACAGCAACTTATAAAAATCAGGACTTTCTTCAACCTGGATGCCATGGATGTCTTATCTTTGCAGCATGTTTAGCTATATTTTCTACTTTACCAGCTTCTTTCTGAAAATGGGAACAAAGAAACTAACCAACCTGTCCCATTTCCAAATTTTGTTTTTGTTTTGTCAGAACTTAACATGTCATAACAAAATACAATTAATATTTTGGCTGCAACAATAAAAATATGTCCTATTGTTATAATGCATACACATACAATTGTTAGTTTTAGCTGTTCTTATTATCACTTTCTACAGAACGTTTCATGAAATATGCCATTTACAGCCTTATCCATATTCCTTTAATGATTTACCCATGAGCATTATGGATACTGTATATGCTCTTCTATTACATAAAATAAGCCACAGAGTTGGCATTTGTTACACCATTGCACCAGTGATGGTGACCTATATTTGCTCTGACTCCAACAGCCTTTTTCATTTATCTCAATGTAGGAAACTGGAGAATAAAAGAAACTGAAAATATATATAATAAAAAAGAAAGGTTTAAAACAAATGAACTGCCTTAATGCAGCCCTGTTGTAATTATAGACAACATGAAAAGCTTCTACTGTAGCAAATTAAAAGTAAATCATGACATCTTAAAGTCCTGCTTTTTAAATTTAGCAGCTATAGTGGAGTAGGCAAATCACTGTTGCCAGGGCCTTGCAGACAGGACCTGGATATGCATGTTTTCAGTTAACATCCAACATTTAAAACTAACAATTACATAAATTCTTCAGTAATCTCACTAAAACATTTGGCTTTGAACTGTCTGTCTTCATGAAAACATATCAACAATTCGTTGGCAACAGTGGCCATGAATCACAACCTTTATTTGAGGAAAATAGAGTGAACCGAGGATGAATTATTGCACCCACCTTGTTCATCACCTTCATTATAGTCATTATCCTTCTTGGCACCCAACAAAACTATTTCACAGTATGTTTAAATACATAAAGACCAGATGGTTGATTCTTCAGCCTGTCGAAATCAACAATGTCCAAGTATCTCCAAGGTGTACCAGCAGGGCAGATCACAATGTTATCTACTGTCATTCACAACAAGCGCTCCAGTGCTTCCATTTTGCTTTTCCAAAGGAAAACAACAATAAAACAACAACAAAAGCAATATGTTTAGTAGATTAAAATTTTCAGTATAGCCTCATATCCAAGTCGTTAGCAGTTTGCTTCCAAAGCTAATACTGACAATTGATGTGAGGGTGCATGAGCAAGCACTACCACTGTTATGTGTTGCAAAAAGAATAAAGAATAAAGAATAGCAAGTCACCCTGTACGCAAGGTGTCCCTCAGGGTTCAATTCTAGGCCCCCTGTTATTTTCACTTTATGTAAATGACTTGTCCAATGTGTGCAAAAATGTGGACACAATTATGTATGCTGATGATACGGTAATTTTTACACAAGCCAAAACTGCTGATGATGCAGCCCATCAGCTTTCATTGGCATTACATGATTTACAAAAATGGCTGAATGACTCATGCCTGTGCCTTAATGTTAAAAAGACCATATCAGTGTTTTTTAGTAAACCTAAAACAACCGTGGCTGCAGTAAAAGTTTGCTTGGGTGCACAAGAACTAATTAATGTTGAGGAATTTAAGTATTTGTGAGTGCTACTAGACTCAAAATTATCCTTTAAAAAACAAGTTAAAAAAGTAGTGAAAACTATAAATGTTAATATACAGAACTTTAGACATAACCGCACATCATTAACCGACACAGCAGCGATTACATTCATGCACTCTATGATACCGGCTCATATTCAATACT